CCAAATTCCTCTTAGCTCCATCTACCAAGCATGGTGATTACAAGTGTTGTGATTACAGACATACAATTCCATGCATGGTTTTATAAAATGCTGGAGAGTCAAGCTCAGGTTTTGGTGTGTGCTAGCCATCCTTGGTCTCTTTAGTTATTTTTTTTAACTTGTAAACAGTTTTGATTTCATGTGTATGAATGTTTTGGCTGCTTGTGTGTCTATGTACCACTTGTGTGCCTGGTACACAGGGAGGCCAGAAAAGGGTGTTGGATTTCCTGGGACAGGAGTTCCAGATGGTTGTGACCACTATGTGGGTGCTGGGAATAAAATGTAGGTCCTCTGGAAATCATCCAGTATTCTTAACTGTTAAGCCATTTATACACTCCGGAAATTTTAATTTCAAATCATTTTATGTACAATAAAATATAATTCTTTTGATCCCCCCCCCCCAATACAGGGTTTCTCTGTGTAGCCCTGACTGTCCTGGAACTTACTCCGTAGATCAAGCTGGCTTGGAGATCCACCTGACTCTGCCTTCTGTGTTCTGGCATTAGAGATGTGTGCCATCACAGTCCACCTGATTTTTTTAAAGATTTATTTCATTTATATATACAGTGTTCTGCCTGCATGTTTGACTGAACACCAAAAGAGGACATCTTATCTCATCATAGATGTTGTGAGCCTCCATGTAGTTGCTGGGAATTGAACTGCTGGAAGAACAGTCAATGTTCTTAACCCCTGAGCTATCTCTCCAGCCACCCACCTGATTCTTTAAAACAGAATTATTTTATATTTTGTCTGTGTGAGTATGTGCGTACACATGCATGCAGGTGCCTGTGCAGCAAGAAGTTGGATCCCAGGAAGTGGTGTTACAAGTCACCTGACCTGGGCACTGAGGGCTTAACTCCAGTTCCCTGAAAGAGCAGCAAGTGCTTTTCACTGCTGACCCACCTATTCAGCCCCTTTATTTATTTATTTACTTACTTACTTAATGATGAGACTTGTTGCCAAGACTGAGTTCCATCCCCTACACCCACAGGGTAGGAGAGAACCAATTCCCACAACAGTTCTTTGACCTCTACATGGGCACATCAACAGCTTGACAACTTGCAACCATCAAAGTTAGACTTTTTTCTTTCAGACACGATAAATTCAATCTTAATTACCAAAGCATCCTCGTTGTATGGTATATTGCATATCCACAAATGTACCTAGGCTCAGTGGCAATGTCAGTAATCCTAGCACTCAGAAGTCTGAGACAGAACTGTTTTATTGAGTCTGAGGCCAACCTAGGCTACAGAGTAAATCTTTCTCTCAAAAAATCAAACACACGAAACCCTGTCTCGGAAAAAAAAATCAAACACACAAATGCTATTCAGTCCTGTGTTGACTTGGTCTCTTTGTGAGCTTAGTACATAATCCTCTCCTGGAACCTTGTTGGAAGTTCCCATGCACTATTATGAGTCTCCTTCCTGAGCTCTTCTACCTTTCAATTCATCCTTGTTACAGGAGCAGTTGAACTTCTTTTAAACACAAGTTCCTTTGTGTCATTCTCTCAGTGAAAAGCACCAAATGAAAATGAATGGAATGAATGTAGGAAGTCGGCCGAGGCCAGCTTATGTTGGCCTTGGAAAGTTGAATTTCAAGTGGGCGGTTCTGGGGGGAAATTGATGTGATGAAGTGCATTGTCTTGCTTGGATCATTCCAGTAACAGTGGGCAGAAGAAATTGGGAGCAGAGCTGAGGATCGCATACACAGTGCTGATAGAAGTGAGAGTAGGGTGTGGCCTGCCAAGACTCTCTACCCTTCTGAGAGGCTTGCAGGTACAATTAGTAGAATTCTCCAATTCATTCAGAATTGCAGGCAATTTAGTTAAAAAGGTTACCGGTTTGATTTTAGATGTCAAATTGGTGCCTGAAACACAGTCCTGTCTGTGTCAGGACTGTGAAGAATTGCTGATCTTCCAACCTTCAGCCCTTCCTGAGGAACTCCGGGCAGATGAATCACACAAAACTCTCTCCCAGCTACTATTGCAAACTTGAAAAAAACTATGCTCCCGAAGTAACTTCACCCGCTAACGTTCTGGGTCTCCTTTCTAAATAATGGCTTTGTTAAATAGAAGAGATCTGGGGCCCTTTCTTTACCCCCTCCTAGAACTATAGTCTCGACAATCCTCAGAGCCCATTTCATGTATGAAAGAAATGTGAGAGTTGGTCAGAATTAAAGTGGGGATCCTTAAGATGACAAAAATAAAACACTTGTAGAGGACCCAAGTTTGGTTCTCAGAATCTATATTGGTGGCTCACAACCACATGTTCTCTTCTGGCCTTCACACACACACACACACACACAGACACACACACAGACACACACACAGACACACACACACACACACACACACACACACACACGCATACATGCACACACAAATAAAAGATATCTTCAAAAGTAAACCGGATAGTTGATTATGAAGGGAAGGTTCTTTGATAATATTAGTGGGGGCTCTTTCTTGTTAGTCTTCTTTACTCAGACTTAGAAGTTTGAGGACAATTTTATTAGCATTTGGAAGAAAGAAACTACAGGGCAGGAAAGCTGTAAATATGAGCATCTTCCTGGGAGAAGGGAGGTAGAGAAGAGGGAGAGAGAATGCCATCCCCAGAAGTATGGAGGAAGGTGACAGTCACACAGATCTGCCTGCCTCCCAAGTGCCAGCTGTGTCTCACCACCCCCATTTGGATTAACTCTTAAGGGAAGCAACTGTAAACAGTATGTAATGTTCTACTCTTTGGAGCAATCAGAATGCCAGATCTCCACTCAGAGGTATTCCATTTTTTTTTTTTTACCAAGATGAAACTGATTTTCTCCCAAAGGGTCTCAGCAAAGCCCTGGCATCTTCGATGTCTCCTAAGACAACTGTAACATTCCCCCCTCAAATACTGAAATAATTTAGGAGATGAGATGAAATCGGGGAATAAATCCCATCCATTCCCACCATGCAAATCCAGAGGTCGAACTGCAGACTGGTTCACCAGCAGGGATAAACTGAACTGGAGCTTTGGTCACACTGTCAGGTGTAGGATGCTGTGAGGAAGGGATATGCTTATTTAAAGGAAGAAGAAGAAGAAACCAGTCCAGCTGCCGGAACTTCCTTCTGACATCTCTACTGGGTTTTTTGTTTGTTTTTGTTATTTTTTTTGAGATAGTGTTTCTCTGTGTAGTTTTGGAGCCTGTCATGGAACTCACTTTGTAGACCAGGCTAGCCTTGAATTCACAGGGATCTGCCTGTCTGCCTCCAGAGTGCTGGGTTTAAGGTGTGCACCACCACCGCCCAGCCTGGCATCTCTATTCTTGATCCAGGATAGGAACTAAGAACATTATGGCTCTGGCCAAGGTTAATAGAGGAAATGTCACTTTGCTGTGTGGATTTGCTGGTGTCCTGCCCTAAAATGATGACTTGTTTCTGTTCCTGGAGTCAGAGCTACCATATGTTACAGGGGAGTGTAGTCTCTTCTCTTGGGCTCTTGGGGTTCTTAGTCTCATTAATAAAATAATTTAAGAACAGATCCAAAAGGAAGCTCATGGATGATGTTGCTAGAGCTTAAAAGAAAATATGGGGGATGGAGAGATGATTCGGTGATTAAGATCACTTGCTCTTGAGGAGGGTTGGGTTTGGGTTCCCAGCACCCACATGGTAGCTCATAGCTGCCTGCAACTCCAATTCATTTTTGAGCTAGAGTTTCTCTGTGGTGCAGCTATGACTGCCCTGAAACTCAATATGTAGATCAAGCTGACCTTCAACTCATAGATTTGCCTGCTCCTGCTCCCAACTGCTGGGATCAAAGGTTTGGGCTACCATGCCTGGTTTGCTTTGTATTTATACACATAAAATAATAAGACTTTTTCAAGCAAAGGATCTCTTGGTTAAAAGGAAGGGGAATCCTTATTCTTTCTTAAGAATAAAAAAAAATGTCTTTAGCCGGGCGTTGGTGGCGCACACCTTTAATCCCAGCACTTGGGAGGCAGAGGCAGGTGGATTTCTGTGAGTTCGAGGCCAGCCTTGTCTACAAAGTGAGTTCCAGGACAGCCTCCAAGACAATACAGAGAAACCCTGTCTCGAAAAAAAAATTGTCTTTAGACTGAACCACTAGGAAACAGAAAAGGTGTTTAAGGGCAATGATGTCAAAGAAAAAAGGAAATCTAGGGAAGAGGAATGCTTTTAGAATCATGAACCAGAAAAGCTGGAAGCCTGAGTTACTGGATTTTCCTGAACAGAAATGCCCAGACTTTGGACAGTGCCCTTTAAGCAAGAGTGGCAGTCAGTGTGTAGACAAGCTGGTGAAAAAAGTGAGAGCTCCCTTGGAGCTATTGAGCTACCTTTTAAATCCTAGCTTAACTTTACTTCCCAAATATTGTAATTTCCATTACCTGTCTTACTGAGTTAGTAGTTAAATAAAAAAAGGATAAGCTTGTGCCCTTCTAACTGGACAAAGTACGTATTCTTGACTTTGGAAGCTATTTTAAACTACTTTTGAATACTCCAGAAAAAGTTCTGTGCACTTATGTATCAAATATAGTCTTTGGTGAAAAGCGCTGTTGAATGTGTAACAACTGTTTCTGAGGCTTTAAAACCACCTAGGTGAAATTTCAAATACAATGTATCTATTTTGACTGTCTTAAAATATTAAGTCATTCTTATAGGGAATCTCAAATCTTTTAAACAGTTCAGAATTGTCAAAATGGGTAGCCGTCATAGAGACTTCCAGCAATGAGCTCTCAAATTGTTTACTTTAAATAACGTCCTTATAATGTGCCAGGTGGTAAAAGTGTCAGATTTCTCAAACACCTGGCCCTGGCCCTGGAGTGAAGTGACTCATCTAACAGTGCAGCTTGCTCACCTATCAGGGTCCCCAAAGCTCTTAAAAAAAAAAAAAACTACATTGACTTTCTAGTCTGCGATTCCCATCAGGCAGCCGATTGGGCCGACTGAGTGCTGTGCATCCTGGGAGTTGTAGTTTGCAGTCTCCCACCGCTGACTACATAGTCTACAGAACGGCTGAGGACGGTTGCCTGGTGTCATTAGCAAGCGGCCAGTATGGCGGTAGCGCGAGCCGACGGGGCTCTGGCTCCAGAAGGTAGGATGATTTCCATCCCTAAACTCCAAAGTTTACTTCACTAAGTCATATTAAATAGTTGCTTAGTGTAAAGAGGAAGCCTGGGTTTCGAGGTGCAGTTTTGGACCAGTTCTTTTGATACGGGGCTGTAGGCAGCGCGGAGGCGCATTACCTCCTGGGAGTTGTAGTCCCGCCCTCTGGTCCGGTTCGGCAGCATTGCGGTGAAGGCTGGATGAGGGACTTCAGCTCCCAGGAGCCTTCGCGGTGCCCGGCGCCCCCGTCCCGCGCTCTCCCTCTCCTGACTGGGCAGTGGGCTTCGGACTGCGGCGACCTTTCTGGGACGTTTACTTTGTGTTCCGAGTGCCCACGGGAAATTGGCAGAGTCTCTTTCTTTCCTCTGTCTCCCTCCCCCATAGTTTCCGAGAACGTTCAGGAAGCATCTTATCCGATACCGCATCACAGTCTGCCTGAACTCTTCCTTGAAGTGGCCAGTACCCGTGATAGAATCTGGGGGTGACCGGGGCACGCGTTACCCCCCGTCATTCTGTAGGCCGGGTCCTGGGGTCGAGTTTGGTCTTTGTTTAGCAGAGCGCAGGCGAGGGGTGCGCCTGTAGCTGGGAGATGCCTCGGTGGGGCGCCGGACCTGAGCTTTTGTTTTGGTTACACTGTGAAGCGTGGTAGCATCTGGCTGCGTTGGGGCAGACCGGGGTAGAGTCGGGGCTCATAACCTAAGGACCCTGAATTCTTGAGGGGAGGGGCTCGCCTGAAAGGTGTGTCGATCCTTCGGAACTGTGTGCCAACGCTGGGTGCGCTTTTCTGGGACAGCATAGTTTTCATCTTTCAAGAAACGGCTCACGACATCTCCCGTGCTAAGAAAACCGAAAAACTTTGAAACCTTCTAGAAGAAAGTTCCGAAAAATTATTTCCCAGGGTAGTAGTCCTAGTCTGATGGTAAATTTGAAATTGGCAGTTACTCTGGCCCCGCCCCCTACCGGTAGCTGCCTTTCCTAAATCTCTGTAGCCCTCGAAGACAACAGACAAGAGCAGCAGTTAGTATTTACAGAGCCACCTTTTAAAAGCCAGATGATATTTTGGACACTTTTCTTACATTCTCTCAAGTTTTCATGTAGAGAAAAATTTATGTTGTATTCTCGGTTTTTTTTTTTTCTCTTCAAGACAGGATCTCATTATGTAGTTGTGACTGATCTGAAACTCACAGAATTTCTGCCTTTGCCTCCCCAGTGCTAAAATTAAAGAATTAAAGATGTGTATTACTACTAGTGGCTCAGCCATATATCCCACCCCAACCCCCCTTTGTTTTTTCCTGAGATTTCTTTTTTTTTCAAGACAGGGTTTCTCTGTGGCTTTGGAGGCTGTCCTGGAACTAGCTCTTGCAGACCAGGCTGGTCTGGAACTCACAGAGATGCACCTGCCTCTGCCTCCCGAGTGCTGGTTATTAAAGGCGTGCGCCACCACCGCCTGGCTTCTGAGACGATTTCTGTGTGTGTAGTCCCTGACTATCCTGAAACTCAAATCTGTAGACTAGGCTAGCTTTGAATTCACAGAGACACCTCTGCCTCTTGGGGTGCTGGGATTAAAGGCGTGCACCACCACCGCCTGGCTTCTGAGACGATTTCTGTGTGTGTAGTCCCTGACTATCCTGAAACTCAAATCTGTAGACTAGGCTAGCTTTGAATTCACAGAGACACCTCTGCCTCTTGGAGTGCTGGGATTAAAGCCGAGCCACCACTGTACGGCGTTTGTTTTTGTTTTTGTTTTTTTTAAAGACAGAGTCTCACTATGTAGTCTCTCTGACTGTCCTGGAACTCACTATATAGACCAGGTTCTTCTGTTTCCCGAGTGCTGAATTAAAGGCATGCACCAACTATGGCTGGTTGATTGTCATGCACAATTCATAGAGTAGAAACATTAACTCAGAGATTTGCACTTATAGAGGACACAGTGAGTAAAGGCAGCCAGCCTCTAGGAGAAAGGTCTCAGTTACCAAGCCTGCCAATACCTTAATTTGGGGAGTTTTCAGACTGAAGAAATGAAGGAGAAAAAGATAAGGAAACTTGTCCATAGTGGTGGTTAGTTAACTATACTTTGATCTTCAAAATATTCAGAAGTGACTGGGGAGATAGCTTAGTTGGTATAGTCCTTGCTGTGCGAGTGTGAGGACCCAAGTTCAATCTTCCAGACCCAAGGGAAAAGTCGAGTTTGGGATCAGGAGCTTGTAATCTCAGACAGTGCTGAGAAGGTGGATATAGGTGCATCCCTGGGGCTTGCTGACCAACCAGTCTACCCTATTTGATGAGTTCCAGGCCAGTGAGAGACCCTGCCTCAAAAAACAAGTGAGGGCCGTAGAGATGGCTCAGTGGTAAGTGTACTTTCTACGAAAGCGTAAGGACTGGAGTTGAAGTCCCTGTCGTCCCTTCGAAAAGCCCCCAAGTGTGCCTGTAATGCCATGGAGGTTTGCTGACTTCCAGTCTAGCTCTATGCTTCCAGTTCAGTGAGAGTGTTCATCAAGAGAATGAAAAAGGCACAGAGCAGGACACCCAGCATTTTCTTCAGGTCTCCCTGGGCATGCATGATATGCCTCCGCCATACACACTACTATAGGCACTTAAAGATATGCTCGTAGCTAGGCTACAAACAGTTTGATCTCTATAAAAATTCACTTCTACTGCCTGGTGTGCTGATAGCTATAATCCTGGCATTTGGAAACTTCAGGAGTTCAAATCTAGCCTCAGGCACATAGAGAGTTTATGCTAGCCTGGTCAGCTTCAGACCCAGTCTTAACATAAAATAAAACAACAAGAAAAGAAAAACAATCCAAAACAAAGAAAAAAATTGAAGGATAACAGAAGGGAAAATAAAACCCATTAAAAAAAACTCAAAAAAATCAAAAAAAGAAATTTAACACCAGCCAGGCAGTGGTGGCGCATGCCTTTAATTCCCGCACTCAGGAGGCAGAGGCAGGCAGATCTCTGTGAATTTGAGACCAGCCTGGTCTACAAAGCAAGTTCCAGGACAGGTTCAAAAGCAATACAGAGAAACCCTGGCTCAAAAAACAAAACAAAACAAAGCAAGAAAAAAAAAAAGAAACTTTAAAAATTCTATTATTAGATACAAAATAGGGAAACCTCAGGGCCATGCAAGCTGGGCAAGGGCTCTGCCTCTGAGCTATCCCTGAGCCCATAACTTGCAAATTTTAAGGAAAAAATGTATCATCCCAGCTCTGGATTGTTATAGTTTTAAACTCTTGCTGCTTACTGTGCTCTGGTGTGTTTTAAATGTGTATGCATATTTTTTATCAGCTGTCATATTTGCTTTCTAACAAGTTGTCTTCTCTTCTCAAGGATCCGTGGTGAACTGGTCAGGGCAGGGGCTACAGAAATTAGGGCCCAACCTGCCCTGTGATGCTGACGTTCACACACTGATTCTGGATAAAAATCAGATTATTAAACTGGAAAATCTAGAGAAATGTAAACAGTTAATACAGGTAGGTATGGGTTACATAGGACTAATTTATTACTAAACGAAACCAAAAGGTTATTCTACATGCCTTGAAAGCAGTAAATGTTGCCTTAAAGTTTTATATGCTGGTTTCTGAAGATGAATACATGTATTACATTTACAGTGATCTAGAAAAAGAAGCATCATTAATTAGTGGGAACAGGGCCAGCAAGATGGCTTAGTAGGTGGGAGTGCCTGGGCAAAGGCCTGGAGACAAGCAGGAGAGAGCGGACTTTTGAGAGTATGCTGGTGACATTTGCATGTGTGCTATTGCTCAAGAGTGCCTGCAAGTGTGATGCTAGCACACACACACACACTCTCTCTCTCTCTTTCCCTCTCTCTCTAAATATTTTAAATTTCTTTTTTTGCTATTTTTTTTTTTGAGATGGGGTCTTTCTATGTAGCTTTGGAGCCTTCCCTGTAACTTGCTCTGTAGACCAGGCTGGCCTTGAACTCACAGAGATTTGCCTGCCTTTGCCTCCGAGTGTTGGGACTAAACGCATGTGCCACCACTGCCACCTCAGCCACTGCCACCACCATCTCTGGGCTTTAAATTTCTTGTTTATTTTACCTTTTATTTATGTGTATTTGTGTATCTCAGTATAATATGTGCTGTATGTGTGTATGAGTACATGCGGAGGCCAGAAGAGAGGGTATCAGGTTTTCTGAAGCTGGAGTTATATCCCTGTGGTTGTGAGCCACCTTACTTGGGTGCTAGGAACTGAACTCTGATCCTCTGGAAGGACAGCAAGTGCTCTTAACTGCTAAGCCATCTTTCTACTCACGTAAATTTATGACAAAATATTGTGTTAATATAATCTTTCCTTCATATCATGGGCAAAGAACTTATTCATGCAAGAATGTTGGGGTTGGGGTTGTAATTTAAGAAAAGCAGCACTCGAGAGAAAGATGCCATGAAACAGGGTTCAAACAGAGGGCTTTTTCATTAGGGAAAGGGATTATAAAAAGGGGAAAGAGGAGGGAGAGAAAAGAGAAAGGGGATCAGAGAGACAGAGAGAGGGAGAAAAAGAGAGAGAGAGGAGGATGGGAGGTGGGCAGGGCCCTTTTAAAGGGAAAATAGTGAATGTGCACAGGTGGTGCTCTTAGTGGCTGCAGCTGAGGACGAATCCTGTCAGAACCCCAAGGACAGGCCAGTACAGATGCCTGAATACGAATACCTGGGATATACTTGAGTGCTGAGAGCACATGCTTAGCATACTCAAAGCCCTAAGTTTAATTGTCAGTACTGTACCAAAACAATAAAACAGGAACGAAGTGTTTATTTGATCTTCTCAGTATACCTAGTATTGTCCTAGTTTTGACTGACGCATGTAGTTTACATTTAACCCAGTCGTTGGAGGGGAGAGATGGGCAGATGCTGAGAGCTAGCTGACCAACCAGCTTAGCTGTAATGGTGAGCTTCCAGGTCAGTGAGAGCCTATCCTAAAGCAATCGGGCAGAGAGTGCTAGAGGGAGATACCCAAAGTCCTGCTCTAGCTTTTTGTGTGTACAGATGGGCATGTGCCCCCGTATATTCACATATGTGCAACACATAAACATACCCCCAACCCCTCCCACATACACACCCACATATGAATGTCTTTAGTAACTGACAGAAGTCTCATTCAGCGTGTCTGTACTTTGTGTAAGCATATGTTGATTATGTATAGTACTGGGTTTCATTTTTCTGAATATGTGTATAATGTATTTCTGTCACAAACATTGCCTTTGCCCTCTCGTTTCCTTTCTGTTCCCTTGAATCCTCTTTCTCCTCTCCAGTGGCCTCTGCTGCTTTTTCATGTCTTCTTCTCTTCTCCTCCTTCTTCCCGCCCCCCTTTTTGTGACCCAGTAAATTTTATGAGGGACATGAATGAGCATAGACTCCCTACCAGTGACTCCACCACTGAAGACAATGTCTTTCCCTCCTCCACCAACCATCAGCTGTCTAGTAACCCTCAGGGATAGGTAAGGCCTTCCAAACTCCACTCCCACCTCCAGGAAAAAAAAAAAAAGCACAACAGCAGTGTCATACCCAGAAGTCAGTGTCAGTATTCCGTGCCTTTCCCCTCTCTCCCCGGCTCTTACATTCTTTCTGCCCCTTCTCCCACCGCACTCCCACCTTGGAGGGGATGCTACAGATGTCCCACTTAGGGCTGGGCACTTGTTTCCTGCACTTTGAGCAGTATGAGACTCTGCAGTCACCACTCATCACCGCAAAGGAAGCTGCTCTGAGTAGAGCTGACAGCAGCATTGTTCTGTGGGGCGTATAGTTATTTAGAAGGCAATTTGATAGGTACATTGTGTCCATTTAGCAAAAAACATCAGGAGCTTCTTCATTATGGCTTATGTCATCCCCAGCCATGGGTTTTGGCTGGGTTTACAGTAACACACACAAATCCCTTCCTGTGTAGCAGGCATCAGTTGGTTTGTCCATAACAGGCTGTGTGTGTGTGTGTGTGTGTGTGTGTGTGTGTGTGTGTGTGTGTGTGTGTGTGTGTATAGCTGAAAAGAACAACAAACTCCAATAGTTATATTATAGGTAATAGATGTAAATGATATGTATAAAAAATATAAATTGGGTTTGGGAATGTTTGACTGTTTGGCCATCTACCATAATGTGAAAGTAATATGTGTGGACATGTATATTTGTTTCTAGGAATAATAATGTTCCCTTTTCACAGTTGTCAGTAGCTAATAATCGGCTGGTTCGGATGATGGGCGTGGCCAAACTGACTCAACTTCGGGTATTAAATTTACCTCATAATAGTATTGGCTGCATGGAAGGGCTGAAGGACCTGGTCCATTTGGAATGGCTGAATTTAGCAGGAAATAATCTAAAGGTGAATGGCTTCTTTTTTCTTGCTAACTAACTTTTTGAGATTTTTTTTCCTGTAGCAAATCTGTTCTCTATGAAGTATAGAAATAAGCAGACTAAAAATAAAAATGTCTACTTCTACAATCTGTGTCAACAAACTTTAAAAAGCCTCCATTTTGAACATGTACTACAATATAGTATATTGTTTATTTGTTTTTTTGTCTTTGTTTTGCTGAGACAGGGTTTTTCTGTGTTAATAGCCCTAGCTGTCCTGGAACTAGCTCTGTAGACCAGGCTGGCTTTGAACTCACACAGATCTACCTGCTTCAGCTCTGCTGCTGTGTTTCTAGTGACAAGAGGAGGCAGGGGGCCCAGCTACAAAGAATGAGGGAATGATTTTGTTTTTTGATTTTAAGTACACTGAATAATGTGATGCTCTTCTTGTGCTAGACCATGGAGCAAATCAACAGCTGCACAGCTTTACAACACCTTGATCTGTCAGACAATAACATACCCCAGATAGGTGATCTGTCAAAGCTGGTGTCTTTGAAGGTAAGTCGGTCTTCTGCACTTCTTACAAATGATCACAAATAAAAACGTTACTAAAAATGTGGTCTCGGGGCTAGAGAGATGGCTCAGAGGTTAAGAACACTGATTGCTCTTCCAGAGGTCCTGAGTTCAATTCCCAGCAACCACATGGTGGCTCACAACCATCCATAATGAAATCTGGTGCTCTCTTCTGGCGTGCAGGCATACCTGGAGGCAAGATGTTGTATTCATAATAAATAAATAAATCTTTAAAAATGTGGTCTCTCCAGGCGGTGGTGACGCACGCCTTTAATCCCAACCAGGCAGAGGCAGGCGGATCTCTGTGAGTTCGAGGCCAGGCTGGACTGACAGCCTCCAAAACAATACAGAGAAACCCTGTCTCATAAAAACAAAAAAAAAAAAAAATGTGGTTTCATTGGCATAAACTTTTCTCTGTATTTTGGAGGCTGTTCTGGAACTTGCTTGGTAGACCAGGCTGGCTTCGAACTCACAGAGATCTGCCTGCCTCTGCCTCCCGAGTGCTGGGATTAAAGGCATGAGCCACCAATGCCAAGCTATTTTGATATTTTAAAAGAAAATTAATAAAAGAAAATCGCCTTGTGTATTGAATTGTGTAGCATGCTAGTACATCGTAGCATAGCTGGATACTACATCAGCTATGTGTTCTTGGATAAGTCTTAAATCATTGTTGGACTAAAGATCACTTAGGAGCCTCCTCAGTATTAATATTTGAATTATGTGTGATGAGAAGTATAACAAAATAAGTCTTTTTATTCTTATATTTTTGGTTGTGAGCCTAGCTTTTAACAGCTGAGCTATCTCTCCAGCCCGGTCTTTTTATTCTTGCATGCACCATCTTGGCATTGTCAAGTCAATTTATTTAATTTGTTGATTTGTATTTATTTTCTTTCAAGACCTTGCTTTTACATGGAAACATCATCACCTCTCTTAGAGTGGCACCTGCGTATCTACCCAGAAGTCTTTCTATATTGTCTCTGGCAGAAAATGAAATCCGAGACTTAAATGAGGTAAAATTTGATTCTGGAATCTTTCCTTCTGGGATCCAGGAAGGAAAAAGTCCAGGACTCTGTGGGATCCAGGAAGAAGAAAGTTCAGGACTTTGTGGGATCCAGGAAGAGGAAGTCAGGACTCTGTGAGAGCCAGGAAAGGGAAGTCCAGGACTCTGTGGGATCCAGGAAGAAAAAAGTCCAGACTCTGTGGGATCCAGGAAGGAGAAGTCCAGGAGAAACAGGAGAGGTTCTTGAGCTCATTTTGTGGTGGGTAGATGGTGGAGGGTGGGTTGAGACAGAGTTTCTCTGTATAATAGCCCTAGCTGTCTTGGAACTAGCTCCGTAGAACATGTTGGCCTCAAACCACCTGCCTCTGCATCCTGAGTGCTGGTATTAAAGGTGTGAGCCACCACTACCCATTGTCACTTTTAGATTGTGACCATCTTGGCAGAATTGTTGTTCTGGTGACGCACCTATCACTAGAGCATCAGTAATTTTTTTCCTCCTTTTTCTTAACACTGAGATCATCAGGCTGAATTTCAGTTGTAATGCTGCAATCATAGTCACTGGTGACTGGTAGGAGAGAGATATCTACTTTATATCAGGGGCCAATATGGCAGCCTTTCCCTGGCTTCTATTATGTTTTCAAATATTGTTTTCTCCGACTAGGTAAAGTCCTTTATGTCTGTAACTTCAGCACCTAGTAAGTGGAGACAGGAAGATTAAAGCTAAAGATCAGCCTGAGTTAAATGAGACCCTACCTCAAAGAAAGTAAATATGGTTTTCTTAACTAGAAAATAATGCTGATACTTTATTGTGCAGGAAGGACAAATGGTCAGGTTTTAGAGTTTTCGAAGTCAGTGGCTTATAGTAGAAAATTGCTGGATGCTTTTTAGAACAAGAGGGAAATTGTGACAGACTCAAATGCTGCCAAAATTATGTAATCAGCGGAAACCCTGTGCTTGACACTGAACATTCATTTTGCTCAACAAGGATGTCTTTTGTTTTAGATCTCGTTTTTGGCCTGTTTAAGTGAATTGGAGCAGTTGTCAATCATGAACAATCCTTGTGTGATGGCAACACCGTCCATTCCAGGGTTTGACTATCGACCGTACATCGTCAGCTGGTGCTTAAATCTCAGAGTGCTAGATGGATACGTGATTTCTCAGAAGGAAAGGTGAACACGATCCGCCTAACGTGGTATCAATCAAGGGATTCTTTGGAAAGATCATTTCTAGTTTGTTGCAGATTAATTGTTGAAGTTTTTAAAGTGTGTGTTTACAAGTTTAAAATGCTGGTGTAATCACAGCTCAGACCGTTTGCTGGTGATTTAGGATTATCCCTCTTTTCTTAGAAAAGACAGAAGGTAAACATCAGGGCTCGGAGCCAGGTGTGGTGGCACATGTCAGTAATGCCAGCACTTGAGAAGCACAGGTAGAAGACTTAGGTGGTCATTGTCGTCCTGGGATACATTGTTGGTTCTAGAACAACCGAGGCTACATAAGACCTAGCCTCAGGGCTAGGGAATACAGCTCAGTTGGTTGAGTGCTTGCATACCATGTTTGAAGTCCTCACTCTGCAAGAATGAGGACCTGAGTTTGAATCCCAGAACCCATATAAAAAGCCAACTATAGCGTCTCTTACCCGTAACTCCAGCATGGGGAGGGGTGGCAGAAATGGATGGATTGCTGGCTAATCAGCAAAGAGCAGTCTTCCACTTCACTGAGACTATCTCACAGCCTTGGTTTTCTCAAAAACTGGCCATGGTGTTGCATGCCTGTAATTCCAGCACTGGAGAGACGGAAGTAGGAGGATCAGAAATTCAATCATCCTTAACTACAGAGCAACTATATATGAAAAAAGGGGGTTAGGTGGGGGAGGGAGAGATGGCTCAGCCGGTATGAGCGCTGGCTGGTCTTCCTGGGCTCTATTCCCTGCACCCACATGGTGGCTCACAACTAGCTGTTATTCTAGTTCTTGGTGATCCTATGTCCTTATGTCCTCCAAATGCGTGTGGTACATAGATACACATGCAGGCAAAAATACACACATTAAAAAAATTAATGAAAAAAAGTGAGTATCAGCCCTAGAGATTGGAACTAGTAAGTCTAAATGCCAAACTTACAACAATCTATGTTCTAAAAGTTCTTTGTTGCTTGCTTGGAAATGGTAACATTCTTTCCTAGAAACCACATTATGTATGTGATACAAGATCTTGGCTTAATCCCACAAAAACTTGTTAGCTATCTATCATATGTGTAAAGGGGTTATTTATTAATAATATTTTAGAACTCAGTGGCCTTTTATGATGCCTCTAGGAAAATGTACATGGTGTTTTAATTTGGAACTGGAAGCAGACATACTATACTGTTTCTCACCTTCTGATGCCTGTGCCCATCCTTAGATCACTGATGGTCTCTGCATCTTGGAGCTGGGAACCTGGCCCCATTAAGACTGTGTCTTCTAGAGACTGTTGTATGATCATTGGAGCCTTCAGTCAAAGCCCTCAGGAAACTAGGCTGGAGATAGAAGGCATGATGGATTATTCTCTTTAACATGCCTCTTTTGATTTTCTGCCCTCAGAAAATATGCATTCATGGACTCAGCACAGTTTTAGCCTTCACTTCCAAAAATCCTTTGGGAGATGGTTCTCTCCCCACCGCCCCCCCCTTGGTTTTTGTTCCTGCTTCATATTCAGGCTTGGTGTCCCGCTACCTTCTGGCCCCTCTGTTTCTATCTCTTGCTGTAGAATACTGGGATAACAGGTGCATACCACTGAATCTGGCCTTTTATGTAGGTTTCAGGGGTTGAACTCAGGTCATTAAGTCTGAGTAAAAAGTGCTTTTACCTGCTTAGTCATCTCACTGACCCTATAAATGCGGCACATGCCTTTAATCGCAGCACTTGGGAGGCAGAGGCAGGCAGATCTCTGTGAGTTCAAGGCCAGCCTGGTTTACACAGCTAGTTCCAGTACAGCCGGGGCTATCCAGAGAACCCAAATCTCAAAAGAACCAAAAAGAAAAAGAAAATTTTGTTTCTAGTAGGCATATCTTATATTATGATTGTAAATTTTCTGTCTCTTTTGAGACAGTGTCTTATGTAGTCAGGCTGTTCTTGGGGTCTCTGTGTAGCCGGGGGATAATCTGATCCCTCTGTTTTCCCCCACAGAACTGGGATTCTAAGCCTGCTTCCATGCTGGCTTTATATGGTTCTGGGATTGAATCCAAGTGTTCGTGCTTGCTAGGGCAGTGCTCTACCATCTAAACCACACCCTCAGCATGCTCTCATTCTTTAGTATCTTAAAATATCAAGTTGCTAATCACAACTCTTGGGAGATGGAGACAGTAAGACTAGCTTTAGCTACAGCAAGTTCAAGGTCAGGCCCAGCTACTTGCGACCTTGTCTCCAGAAGCAACAGCAAAAATAAAACCACCAGTTTGTTACAGTTACATACTCTATAGGTTGGCTACGCTGACCAGGTAGTTCTCAGACAATTTCCTGTGTGTTTAGTATCTTCCTCTCCTCGGTATCACCTAAAAATTGGTGATTGGGCATGACGATAGGATCAGATTCAGTTTTGAAGTTTTATTAATTTATGTTTGAGACATGGTCTTTCTACATAGCCCAGGCTGTCCTGGAACTCACTATGTAGACTAGGCTGTCCTGGTCACAGAGATCTGCCTGCGTCTGTCTCCCAAGCACTGAGATTATAGATGTGCACCACTGTGCCCAGCTTGTTTTGAGGTTTTAAAGGAAGACTACCATGTAGATACTATTGGATCGTACTCAATGTCTGGATATCTGTTTCGTTCTTAGTAGCTATGAATGATCCATGCCTGAAACCATTAATTCATTAAAAGTTACAAAATGGTGAAATTCTGTCCTTTTTAATAGTTACTCTACTTATGTGAATTAAGTATTTATTGACAAATTTTGTATAGGAAATAAAAAATTAACAATATTTAATTCCCAATATTTACCAGTTTTAAAAAATGACCAATTAGGAGGTATTTTTAAAAACTGCCGTTAAGAGCTTATAGATTGCTTCTGTTTGACAAAGTGAATGGAGACAATGCTCATTGCTTCTTTGAAAGCAATTTAAAAATATTTGGACTCATTAGTAGGAACAGTGCCTCTAATTATGATAAAAATTAAAATATAAGACCAGGGGAAGTAAGTTAGGAATGTAGATTAAAAGCCAGGGATTGTAGCACATGTTTGTAATTCTACTGCTGAGGAGGTAAAGGTGGGCAGATTGCTGGAGCTTGTTGACTAGCCAGCCTAGCCAAAAGGTGAGCTCCGAGATTGCCCTTGTCTCAAAAATTAAAGTGGAGAGCAGTAGAAGATACTCAACATCCACTCTGGCCTTGACTATACATGTCCATGAATTTTCACACACATGTACACACTTGGGAACTTAGACCACACACACACACACACACACACACTCTCTCTCTCTCTCTCTCTCTGTCTCTCTCTCTCTCACACACACCACCATCACCACTATCCATCAAAATGAACTAAAAATAAGCAAGTAAGACAAATAATTTTAAAAAGATTTATTATTTATTTACATGCATTGGTGTTTTTCCTTCATATATGTCTGTGTAAGGATGCATGATCCCCTATTTGGAGTTACAGACAGCTGTGAGCTGCCATGTGGGTGTTGGGAATTGAACCCGGGTCCTCTGGAAGAGCATGTAGTGTTCTTAACCCCTGGGCCATCCCTCCAGTCCCTGTATTATAAGGTAAATTCAAAAGGAAGATCAGTGTTACTCAACAGTGTATTTTGACTGCTCCTGTCATTACTCTTCCTTATCTCCTAGTTTGAAAGCTGAGTGGCTCTATAGTCAAGGCAAGGGACGGGCATATCGGCCTGGCCAGCACATCCAGCTTGCGCAGTACCTGGCTACGGTCTGTCCTCTTACTTCCGCCCTGGGTCTTCAAACTGCTGAGGATGCCAAACTAGAGAAGATTCTGAGTAAACAGAGGTAAGCCGGTGTATCTGTGGCAGCTGAGGGATTTAGAGGTGAAGGTACCTCAGACTTTCCTGTGACCGACCGGAGGGCACACATTTGGACACTCAGGCCTTTCGTCACTGCACAGAAGCTGAGCTACAGGATGCGTATGGCTTGTTCCATGGCAGTTGCTTTTCTAATCAGTTCCTGAAGGGTGAGGCAAACAATGTAACAGTGGTAGATTTGCCTTGCATGCGTTTGGCCCTAAGTTTGAGCCATAGCACCTCAAGAAAAGTATTTGACCTTTGATTATAGGTGCCTCACGTTAGCATGTTAAGTGCTAATATTAATAAGCATGGCCAGAGTGTTAGTAATAACCTCTCTTATCAGAGATCCCGTCTTTCAGTGTTTTTGCATATGAAATTGTGTTTGTATAAGGTCATGTGGACAATTAATTGTATAGATTGAGACATGGCCTTCAACTCATTGTGTGGAGAGGGTAACTTTGAACTACTGATTCTGTTGTCTCTACCACCACAGTGCTGGCTTTGTAGGCATGTGTTGCCATCCCTGTCTTTATCTAACAATCTTAACTTTTTTACACAATGCTTTCAATGGAGACTATAGTTTGCCAGTGGCTAAAGACACCCCTGCAGACTTGTTAAGTTTTTGTCTTCGAGTATTAACTGAGGAGGCAGGAGAGGACTCCTCCTTAGCTTGTGGAGATGACAGCAGGCCTTATTGGTTTCTAGGTTTCACCAGAGGCAGCTGATGAACCAAAGCCAAAATGAAGAGTTGTCTCCTCTTGGTCCTGTTGAAACAAGGGTACCTCTTACACCTGAGCACTCAAGCCCTGTTCAAGATTTCCAGGAAAGTGGTAAGGAAGTCATTTATACCCAGTGCCTAAGAACCTCTTGCTCCACTACTTTTCTTCAACTCATTTGACTTACTGGGCCATGAAACTGTTTCAGACAGGGTCTCTCTGTGTAGCTCTGACGGGTCTGAAACTCACCATATAGCTCCCAGGCTGGGCTTGAACTTGCTTCAAATCCTGCTGACTCACTTCCTCTTTTTTTCTTACTATTTACTTTATGCATGTGTGTGTGTGTGTGTGTTGTTCTGTTTCTTCCTCAGGATTGTTGGTTGCATTGGTCCTCAAGATTGGAGGGAACAGAAACAGGGAACAGGGTTCGGATGGCTGTGGGTATGACGGAGACAGTCCTCCAGGAGATGACTTTAGAGAATCAGCTCACCTTTAATCTAGAGTATGGGGAGTATATAGGATTGGGAAGCCTGGGGACATCCTAATTTGCATTAAGTCAAATGCTTCTATTATAAGGCTGGGTTTCTGGCAGCATGACCCTATGAAAATAGCTAAAGCATGTTACTTAATTACCATGTGATTCACAGGGGAAGAGTGTTTTCAAGGAACTATGTCAGGTGTCATGCTTGAGAAAAATCAGGCATCTGGGCCTAGAAACAAACTCCAAATAAGGGCAGGTAGAGAGCAGGAAGTCTCCATGGTGTCAGGGGGAGTCCTCCATGTAGCCAAGCTTAGAGAAAGCTGCCAGGCTCTGACAGACTGCAACCTCTGACCAACAGGGTCTCCCAACATGTGTGAGAGTATTTGGATGTGTACTATATGCATACAGGAGTCTGTGGAGGTCAGAAGAGGGCATTGGATCCCCTGGAACTGTAGTTACAGACAGTTGAGAACTATCATATGGCTGCTGGGAACTGAACCCTAGGCCCTCTGCAAGAGCAGCAAGCCATCTCTCCCCACTTCCAGCCCCATATTTCTAATTTTCAAAAGATGTCTTGTGGGGCTAGAGATATAGCTCAGTAGTTAAGGGTGCCTGCTGGTCTTCAAGAGGAGCAGAATTCAATTCCTAGCACCCATATCAGGCAGCCCACCCAAGTTTGACTTTAGTTATAAGGGATCCATTGCTCTTTTCTGGGATTCATGCACATATGGACAGTAAAAGAAAAAAAAGCATTTTGTGGACAGTTATCTTTGTATAGACTTAGTAATGCTGGCTTAGACTTCATGGAAGTCCTTGTGCTTTAGCCTCTCAAGTGCTGGGATTTTAGGTACGAGCCACTACTATTTTATTTTATTTACTTTATTTTTTTTATTTTTTGGTTTTTCGAGGCAGGATTTCTCTGTATTGTTTTGGAGGCTGACCTGGAACTAGCTCTTGTAGACCAGGCTGGCCTCGAACTCACAAAGATCCTCTTGCCTCTGCCTCCCAAGTGCTGGGATTAAAGGCGTGTGCCACCAACGCCCAGCGAGCCACTACTATTTTAATAAATCACTTTCCTTTTTTTAAAATCTGAAATTTTTTTTAAACTTAAAAAAATCTTTTTTTTTATGTGTATGTGTGCTTTGTCTGTTTGTATGTCTGTGTCTACAAGCATCTCTTGTGCCTGCAGAGGCCAGAAGGAGCCAGATCCCCTGGAACTGGAATTACATTGTGAGCCACCATATGGGTGGTGAGAATTGAATTCAGGTCTTGTATAAGAGCAACCAGTGCTCTTGACCGCTGAGCCATGTCTCCAGCACCAAGAAATTCATTTTCTTAAAAATGTTTGTTTTGACATGTTAGTCCTGTTGGTGGCAATAATTTTATTGTACTTTTCTATATTTTAGGGATTAAATTTTGTTAAAAGTAAACAACTAAGGAATTAGGAAGGTGGTTCAGTTGGGTAAAGGTGCTTGATGTTCAACATGAGTTCAACCCCTCAAACCCACATGGTAGAAGGAGAAAACTGACTGCTCCAAGTTGTTCTTTGACCTTGGCATGCAAACTATGGCATGCATGTGCATACACCCCCCACCCTCACACACACACACTATAAATAAGTGATTTAAGATGGGCGGTGGTGGCCTATGCCTTTAATCCCAGCACTCAGGAGGCAGAGGCAGGCGGATCTCTGTGAGTTCAAGACCAGCCTGGTCTACAGAGTGAGTTCCAGGACAGCCTCCAAAGCCACAGAGAAACCTTATCTCAAAAAAACCTTTAAAAAATGTGTACAATTAAGAAGGCTCTTCAGCTGGGTGGTGGTGGCGATTACTTTTAGTCCCAGTATTTGGGAGGCTGAGGCAGGCAGATCTCTGTGAGTTTGAGGTCAGCCAGGTCTACAGAGTGAGTTCCAGGACAGGCTCCAAAGTTACAAAGAGAAACCATGTCTCTAACCCCCCACTCAAGAAAATAAAAAGCTCTTCAAATACTTGGTGATTTAAATGATGCTTTCTTGGTTCTTCTAGAACCTGTTCTCCAAATCAATTCTTGGGTTGGGATAAGCAGTAATGATGATCAATTATATGCTGTTAAGAATAACTTCCCAGCCTCTGCACACTCTACAAGATATTCTCGGAATGACCTTCACTTGGAAGACATACAGACAGATGAGGACAAGCTAAACTGTAGTCTGCTGTCTTCAGAGTCCACTTTTATGCCAGTTGCATCAGGACTGTCTCCGGTGTCACCCACTGTTGAGCTGAGGCTACAGGGCATCAACTTGGGCCTAGAAGATGATGATGACGATGATGTTGCAGATGAATCCATGAAAAGGCTAGAAAACCAGGACTTGGATAAGGACAAGGAAAAGCCTTTATGGGATACAAATGAGAGCTCTGTTCAAAGGCTGAAAAGTAAGATGAGTAAGGAAGCAAATGAGAATTCTGGGCTGTTACCTTGTACCAAGTCAGTGCTCATCAATGCTATCTTGAAGGAGGATAACCATGGTCTTACATCTTTCCCGGAAGCAGTTGGACATAGTGTATCCCACATAGACCCAAACCGTGAAGAAACCATGTCTCCTACCACTTCAGAGAAATCTCCCTGCAGAATTTTTACCCAGAGACCTGTTGCTTTGGGACAAGATAAAGTCACTCTGCAGAAACTGAATGCAGCTGCCACTAAGCTTCAGGCCTGTTGGCGGGGCTTTTATACCAGGAACTACAATCCACAAGCCAAAGGGGTACGTTATGAAATCCGGTTGCGCAGAATGCAGGAGCACATTGTCTGCTTGACAGATGAAGTAAGGAGGTAGGTTGGAAACTTTGCTGTCTGTTGGCTTGGGGTGCCAGGTTCTGAAGTTGTTTAAGAACTCTGCTACTGTGGTCATGACACCTGGTGGCCTCAGTTGGTGTAGTCATCTCTAGTAAGCTATTGGAAGCATCTTGAGAGTACAAATTGCCATATGCATCTCCATTCTCAGCATAGCAATTGGTACCTAGATGTAGTATCACAGATGTTGCTGAGTGGCTGTGAACCATATAGGTATCTATGCTGCTCAACAAAGAAGTAGATAACTGTAGAAAAACTGGATAAGGAGAAAGAGAAAGTCCACATAGAACCAATTAGGTGACATAAGAGCTAGAGAAAAATACCAGGGATCCCAAAGGGACTAAAATTCTGGGACTAAGGTAGGAATTTTTCCTCAGTTCCAAGGCATACGTTTGGCTGACTGCCAACCTATGACAATTAGGAGTTCATTAACATTGGAACTAATGGCGTTTATTAGTACTATAGGTGGATTAGGAGAAAGTAGCACAAGAGCCTGAGAAGGAACAGCCAAGAGAGTATATTATATTCAGTTCCAGTGGGGCAAAATGTTTCAGGAGAAATGTGAGGGTAGAGAAGGGTAGAGAAAATGAGGCTAGATTTAGCCTTTATTGTAATTGGTGACCCTCGAGACTGTCCTCCAGTTCCATGCTTTGCTGAATGGACTTAAAGAACTCAGGAATTGTTCTGTTCATGACTGCTGCTTATTATAGCAGATACATATAGGTTAAAACAGGGAAAATCACATAGGGCAGACCAGGTTGCAGGCTTCTAGAGGCCCTCTCCCAGTTAACTCATAGAGATCCAGGACTTCCTTCCCATTGCTGGAATGTGTGGTGGCATATACGAAGTAGTTCCAACCAGGGAAGCTCTCCTGAGCATTTTGGGTCATGGCTTTTATTAGGGTCAGTTATTTAGTCATTCAGTGCTCATGTGAGTGGCTTTTCTTAGATTTCTTCTTCCCTAGAGGTAAACTGGTACAGTGTCTGAGGGTTCCAGGGGACAAAATGGGGTTTCAATAGAAATCATATTGTTAGTGTAAACTCTAGTGTAACTCAATACCTCAGGTTAACAAAGATAGTCTGCTCAGGTAAATATTTCAAGGACTTGGAGGTTGCCTTCCTTCCTGTCCTGTATTTATTTGTAACATGCAGAGTAAGAGCATCCCACATCCCAGTTCTGATGAATTAACCCTTTACTGCATGGTGAGTTTCCTAAGAGTGGTTTAGGGGTGTGGGAATGGAAGCCAATTTGAGATAGATTAGATAGTGGGTAAAAAAAATAAAGAACTTAAAGAATGAGTGTCACCAGCTCTTTGGGAATGTTATTTTAATGAGGAAAAGAGAGTAGTTATGTAGTTGCTGGTAAGAAATGTGTGGGTTCCAGGAATTGAACTTATGTCTTCAGGCTTGTCAGCAGGCACCTTTTCCCACTAAAGCATCTTGCTAATCCTTGGGAAAAGTTTTAAAAGTGGTGTAGTGAAAACGCTTGGGAATCGAGTGAGATTATGGCAGTAGGTTCGTGGTGTATGTAACTCTTAGGTACTGTGTCTACTTGAATGCTGACCTTCTAAACAAAGTGACCGGAATGGGCAGAGAGAAGGACTGGTGCTGAGACACCAGTGAATAGTGTGGGGAGTGGGAGCATTTATCGGGATAGCAGGCGTTCTTAGAGAATGTCTTAGGGTTTCTGTTGCTTTGCTAAAACACCATGACCAAAAGCAACTCAGAAGGCAAAGATCTGTTACAGCTTATAACTCTGATGACACTCCATCACTGAAGGAAACAAGTGCAGGAACTCAAAGCAGCATCCCTGAGGCAGGAACTGAAGCAGAACCATGGAGGAACATTGCTTCTAGCTTGCTCCTCATGGTTTGCTCAGCTTACTTGTTTGTTTACTCCCTCCCTCCCTCCCTCCCTCTGTTCCTCCCTCCCTCCCTCCGTTCCTCCCTCCCTCCCTCCGTTCCTCCCTCCCTCCCTCCGTTCCTGTCTTTCTTTGTTTCTGTCTTCCTTCCTTCCTTTCTCTTTCATTGAAACTATGCTGTTGATGGTTTTTTTTTTTCATACAGTATGTTCTGGTAATGGTTTCCCCTCTCATCTCCTGTCTCCTGGAGTGGACCTTCAGGATGGTTGATTATTTCCACAGCATTTGTGTGGCTATTGCACCAGTGTATCATGTATCAGTCTGCTTTCTTACACAACTCAGGACCACCTGCCCAGGGTTTGCATCACCACAGTGGGCTGAGCTCTCCCATATTACTCATTAGTCAAGAAAATGCCCCGTGCACTTGCCTGTAGGCCAATCTTATGGAGGCATTTTTTTCTTAGTTGAAATTTCTCTTCTTAGATGTTTCTGGGTTTGTCAAGTTGCAGAAGAACACAGCCAGGACTAGGAGTTAGATAAAGAATCACTTGAAAATAGCAGTGAGAAACAGTTTAATGACTTTGTATAAAAGAAGAAAAAAACTTTTTTTGTTTTGTTTTTTTGAGACAGGGTTTCTCTGTATAGCTTTGGAGCCTGTCCTGTCCTGGAACTCACTCTGTAGACCAGGCTGGCCTGGAACTCACAGAGATCTGCCTGTCTTTGCTTCCCAAGTGCTGGGATTAAAGGCGTGCGCCACCAATGCCCGGCTGAAAAAGACTTTAATTGAGAGCTACAATGCTTCCACCAATGGGCCTGTTTTGGCTAAGGAAAAACTCAGAGAAAGGTGACCTATAAGGGAGGTTGCTATTCAAAATCAGGAGTGCCAGATGGCGCAGAAGAATGTCTCGGAGAGTCTAGAGAAAGTGGATAAATGTGTTGGGACTTCTGAAAAGGGATGATCTCAGGGGTAGAGTCTTTGTCTAGCAGGTACAAGGCCCTGGATTCTCTATCCAGTACTGGAAAGATGAAAAGCAAACATAAAACAACCAGGACAAAGTAGGGGTGATATTCCAAGTGGTAATAGACAACTAAGGAAGGCTCTGCTTTGGTATAGGCTGAAGCATCGAGACGGCATCGGTAGTCTCAGAAGTAAGACTGAGGTATGAGAGCAAGTGATAGATGAGAGAGTCTGTGTACCAGGGAGAATCAGGAATGGCTCAAGCAGGAGAATGATGTCTGATGAGCTTAGTTAATGTCTTAGGAGAAAATAGTCTGTGGTCCTGAGTACGTTAGTGTGACTGTTAACTTTTGGAAGCTTTGAATAACCAGCCTTTTCTAGGCCACCATCATCTTGTGTTTGGCTGGGCATGGAAGGGCGGATAAAGAGATATTTAATACTTAAGCATATGTACACATACACATACAAACATCCCCCCTTTGGTAATATTTGTAGAATGAATATGTGAATTTCAGTTTCAGATACATCTCATCTGGCTTCTGTCTTGAAGCATAGTTTTTTTTTTTTTTTTTTTTTTGGTTTTTCAAGACAGGGTTTCTCTGTGGCTTTGGAGGCTGTCCTGGAACTCACTTGGTAGTCCAGGCTGGTCTCGAACTTACAGAGATCCGCCTGCCTCTGCCTCCCGAGTGCTGGGATTAAAGGCGTGCGCCACCAACGCCCGGCTTTTTGAAGCATAGTTTTAAATAAGGTTAGAGCTTAGATATTCTAACAGTGGAGGCAGTTGCTACTAGGTTTTTAATCTCTTTCTAATGTATTTAAACAAGTTTAAATCAAAGCTTTCTTCCTTATGTCAACATGATCTTTTGAATCATTGTAGATTAAGAAAAGAAAGAGATGAAGAGCGTGTGAAAACTTTTGTACAAGAAGAGGCTGTTAGATTCCTTTGGAATGAGGTAAGCCCCCACTGCTGATTTCTCTAGTATGTGTGAACACAGAAAATTTCTAGTGAGACCAAAATCTTTTTGTTTCTTTGTGTAGCTTTGGCTGTCCTGGAACTCATTCTGTCGATTAGACTGTCCTCAATCTCACAGAGATCCTCTTGCCTCTGCCTCTTGAGTACTAGGATTAAAGGCATGCACCATTGATGCCTGGCCCAAAATCATTTTAAGCCTTTGGTTTTAGTACGGCAAAACTTTAAAATATTATAGCAATATACTGTAATAAAAAATTTCCTGCCGGGCAGTGGTGGCACACACCTTTAAATCCCAGCACTCAGTAGGCAGAGGCAGGTGGATCTCTGTGAGTTTAAGCCCAGCTTGGTCTACAGAGCAAGTTCCAGGATAGACTCCAAAGCAATACAGAGAAACCCTGCTCGAAAACAAACAAACAAACAAAATTCCTGATATTTCTTAGACATATTTTAAACTTTTTAGAAATATCTTTTTTCTTAGAAGTATCATAAAAGGTTATTGTAAGTATATACAACCTATATATTAAGATAATGTTTTTTTTGTTTCGTTTTGTTTTTTGGCTTTTCAAGACAGGGTTTCTCTGTGTAACAGCCCTAAGCAGTCCTGGAACTAGCTCTGTAGACCAGACTGACCTTGAACTGACATAGATCTACCTGCCTCTGCCTCCCAAGTACTGGGATTAAATGTGTGTGCTACCATCCCCTGTCAAGATAATTAATTTTTAAGATTTTTTTATTTGCCATTAGTAGGGAATTGGTTAAATAAAAAATAACAGCATTATAGAATACAATGGGACAATTGGAAAGGATAAAGTAGTAATATATAGACTGACTTGGAAAGATCTCCAGAATAATAGTAATAACAGTAAGAGATGGTGCTTAGCATCTGTTGGTGTTAAAAGTTCTATGAGGGCCAGTGAACTAGTTCATTGGGTGAAGGTGCATGTCATCAATATTGACAATCTGGGACCACATAATGAAATGTGTGTGTCATCAATATTGACAACCCAAGTTTGGTTCCTGGGACTACATGATGAAATGCAAGAACCAATTCTTGCAAGTTGTCCTCTGACTTCTACAAGCATGTGTGTGCCCTCATCCATAAATTAAAAAAATAATTTAAAAAATTAAAAATATATATTAAAACTATAAGTATATGAGACTATATAGAAAAAGTCCTGAAAAGATATATTTTCAACTACTATCAGAAAGTACTTGATGAAACAGAGCTATGTAGTGAGAACCTGGTAGTCACAGTGAAACTAAATTCTGTTTTATTTTTGAGATAAATTTTTATGTGGTCCAGGCTAGTCATATACTCACTATAGCTGAGGGTGACCTTGAACTCCTAAGCCTTCTGCTTGTACCTCATAAGTGAAAGGGTTCCCGATGTACACCATCACAACTGACTCGTGTGCTTCTGGGGCTCGAAACCAGGGCCTCATGCATGCTAGGCAAGCCCTCTACCAATCGGGCTACTCTATATTGCTTGCAATTAAAAAAAAAGATTTATGCTTGTATGTATGTATGTGCCTATGTGTGTTCAGTGCCCTTGGGGCCAGAAGTGGGTAGTAGAACCCTAGGACCTGGAGTTACAGATGGTTGTGATCTGCTGTGTGGGTGCTGGGAACTGAACCCTGGTCTTTTGGAAGAGTAGCAAATGTTCTTAATCAGTGAGCCATCTCTCCTAGTCCTTGCTTGCAGTTTTTAAAATTGTTTCTTGAGACAGGTTTCTCTGTGTAATAGCTCTGGCTGTCCTAGAACTTGTTTTGTAGATCAGGCTGGCCTCAGACTCAGAGAGATTCACCTGCCTCTGCCTCCTGGGTACCGGGATTAACGGCATGTGCCGCCACCACCAGGCAAAAGGGGAGGATCTTTTATTTATAATAACCTGCCCTCTGGTTTACAGGTAAGATCTCTACAAGCTTGGCAGCAGACAGTGGAGCAGCGTCTCATTTCCTGGTATACTGATGTGCCTCCCGTATCGAGTACTCTGGTGTCAGCTAAACCTCCATTATTTCCACAACATCGGGGCCCCTCTTGTGATCAGAGTTCTGATTGGTTCGTTGCTGAGGATGAAGCTCCTCAAGAGAAATCTGTTCCGGAGTTTCCAGACTCTGGTTTCCATTCCTCCCTAACAGATCAAGTTCACTGTTTGAAGGATTCTTTGGATTTTGAAAAAAGTTCCATAGAAAGCAGTGAAAGCTCCATGTTGGGGAATTCCACAGACACAGTGAAACACGGCAGAGACCCCAGCTCAGAGGCCATGGCTGAGGAGCACGGTGACTGTAGTAAGGAAAGCTCAAACAGCGAGCAGGATAACACCCTGCTCGAACAGTATTTATCCTCGGTCCAGCAGCTAGATGACGCCGAAGAGAGGACAGACTCTGATGATGTGACAGGAGACAGTATGTGCCACGCAGCCTGTTCTCCAGATGATGATGTGACAGGAGACAGTATGTGCCACGCAGCCTGTTCTCCAGATGATGTGACAGGAGACAGTATGTGCCACGTAGCCTGTTCTCCAGATGATGTGACAGGAGACAGTATGTGCCACGCAGCCTGTTCTCCAGATGATGATGTGACAGGAGACAGTATGTGCCACGCAGCCTGTTCTCCAGATGATGTGACAGGAGACAGTATGTGCCACGCAGCCTGTTCTCCAGATGATGTGACAGGAGACAGTATGTGCCACGCAGCCTGTTCTCCAGATGATGTGACAGGAGACAGTATGTGCCATGTAGCCTGTTCTCCAGATGATGTGACAGGAGACAGTATGTGCCACGCAGCCTGTTCTCCAGGTGATGATGTGACAGGAGACAGTATGTGCCACGTAGCCTGTTCTCCAGATGATGTGACAGGAGACAGTATGTGCCACGTAGCCTGTTCTCCAGAAAGCTCAGATGCCTCATCTTACAGCCAGGTGCATAGTGTATCTCCCACTTTACAGGATGGGATTAGCCAGACACCAGAGAATTGTGAGTTAGGTGCAGATGTTCAAGGGCAGTCCCCGGAATGTGATGCTACATTTCAGGTGTTGCATGTAGGTGTCACTGTGTAACAGTGACAGAAACTCACTTGAATTTTCTTAATATTTTCAGTTGCTTCTTTTGTTTTGCAAGGGAGCGATCCTTCCCCCATTTTGTTATTGTTTATATGAAACTTGTATTCTTGTCCCATATTTTTCAGATTTGACATTTTGAGCTAAGTCTTCATTTTGATTGTACTAATGTACTAAAAATATTGATATTAAAAGGCATGTGCACTTTACTTCTGAACAATTACACCAATAATGTTTCTGTTACATATTTCCTTTCAAAAACAATTTCTTGAAGTAGTTTTGGCAATTTTAACAGGAGAATTTGGTTCTTCTTAATTACATAGTAAAGAATATAATATGTAATGTATGACTATATGAGGATTATGAACAGCTGAAATTGGCTGGACTTAAAATATGTTTTCCCCCCTTTGAGTTAAGGAAAGCCTTCTTATATAAGAAAATTTAGGGAGAATAACTTTATAGGAGTGTGTGTGTGTGTCTCATAACAAACTTTAGCTACTTTGTGGATCAGTTTTGAAGTATAGTATTCCATATAGGATTAAAATCTAGCTTACTTGGGCAAGAGTATTTCTCTTTGATATGGAGAAAACAGACCTGAGATTTATTCACTTGAAATAATGCTGCTTTTTCAGCCTACTGACATTTATGGGCCAATAGTTTGGGAAGAAATATATTGTAAGAAATCAATATGCATTCATCATTATGTTTTTTGCTTTTCTTTTTTTTTAAGATTTATTTATTGTGTGTATGCTGTTAAGTCTGCATGTCAGAAGAGGGCACCAGATCTCATTATAGATGGTTGTGAGCTACCATGTGGTTGCTGGGGATTGAACTCAGGACCTCTGGAAGAGCAGTCAGTGCTCTTAACCATTGAGCCATCTCTCCAGCTCCTCTTGCTTTTATTTCTAAATGTATTCCACGTGAAGGACTAAAACTATTCATTTTTCACTCTGTGTGTGTGTGAGTGAGAGAGAGACAGGACCAAATTTAGGGCCCTGTGCATGCTGGGTAAGTACTGTGCCACTGTGTCTCAGTTCTTACTTCACTCTTGACCTTTGTCCCAAGGGGAAGAACATTTAAAATCCTGCTACTGATAGATTGGAAATGCATTTTTAAAAAGGAATTTTTATCTAATCACTGAAAAGTGCCACATTTGAAAGACAATTTAATTGTGGTGAAGAGAAAAATAAGCCAGGCTGGGCCTGGTGGGACATGCCTTTGATCCCAGCACTTGGGAGGCAGAGGCAGGCAGAGCTCTATGATTTCAAGGATAACCTGGTTTACATACTGAGTTCTAGATCAGCCAAGGCTACATGTGAGACCCTGTCTCAAAACAATAAAAACATCAACAATGAAAAGGAAAGAGAGAGAGAGAGAGCAGAATAAACATAAAAAAGAATATGTCTTCAAGAATGACAATATTGAGTTTGAATGTTGAAGATACATCTGTAAATCAAAGGTGAATTTTGGGAGCTTGGCACTGTATCTTTTAGAATGTTTTGATATCATTAAATAGCACAACACAGATCTGATTTTTCTAACTGCATACATCAATGGTTTAAAATTCCAGCAATACTTCTGTTCTCTAAATTTAGGTATTAAATATTATCAGTTATTCTGTTATAGCCATTAGAGCCCCTTGACTGGAAGTGTATAAAACAAAAGTTCTGCTCTTTCCAAAATAAAGTTGAGGACCACTTTGCTGACAGGAATATGTCTACATCATGGTGGCTGTTTATAAATACATAGTTTATAAACACATAGCACTCAGGTTAAGAAGGCTTGCATTTTGCCGGGCGTTGGTGGCGCACGCCTTTAATCGCAGCACTCGGGAGGCAGAGGCAGGCAGATCTCTGTGAGTTCGAGGCCAGGCTGGACCGATAGCCTCCAAAAACAGAGAAACCCTGTCTCGTAAAACCAAAAAAAAAAAAAAAAAAAAAAAAAAAGAAGGCTTGCATTTCATCCTCAGAAATCCAGAATCCCTTGGAAAGGATGTGTTTTCTGTTTTTTAAACAGAGCGACAGTCCTATTTTCAAAATACTTAATATAGTGTAACATTTGAATGCATGGTGAATAAAAACTGAAAATTTAACTCTCTGAATAACAACTACCTTTTATAATTTTGCATTTCTTTTAAAAATATTTGATTTGTGTGTGTCTGTTCATGTCTGTGAAAGAGTGTTAGTGAGTGTGAGAAAGTGTGTGTGTGTGTGTCAGTGTGTATGTATGTGAGAAAGTGTGTTAGAGTGTGTGTCTGTATGTGTAGAGAGTGTGTGTCTGTGAGAAAGAGAGTGTGTGCATTTGTGTGTGTGTGTGTGTGTGTGTGCACACGCACATGTGCGCCCACATGCTGGATGAGGCCAGAAGTAGGTGCCAGCTCCCTTGAATTCAGGAGTAACAGGTGTTTGGGAGCTGTCCATGTGGGTGCCTGGATCCACACTCCAATTCAGTGATAGAGCAGTAAGCACCTTAACTACTGAGTCATTCTTCAGCCTGATCTTTTCATTCCTTTTTAAATATGAGATAAGAAATTTTCTTATTTTTCTATTTTTGCAGTTAAATACCTCATTTGTAGTCCACAATTAAGGAAAAGCCATCTCACTGCGCTGGTACTAAAACTGTTTCACTACACATTAATTTTCAGAAAGATGGCTGAAATGCATGGTTCAGTTTCCCTGAGTATGTTTCTGTTAGCTTCTTCCTTCTTTTTCTAAGTAATGGCAGGTACAGCCATTTGAACTGGTCAGCATTGTCAGCAGAGTTTATTTATCTTTTGCTTGTTTTTCTAGTTTGAAAAATGGCATTCAACATATTTTCATGAAAACCGTGGCAGAATGATAATTATTAATATTCTGCTTTTTCTTTAGTTTATACTCAATTTTAGAAGTATGAAAATATTAAGTAGACCACTTTGAGTTGTAGAGTATTTTGAAAGTAGATGAAAATACTGTAAATTAGAATATAGGAAAACTAAGGCATAGACTTAATATATTTTTATTGATTTGTATAATTTAAAAGTAATTTATGTAACTAAGAAATAGTACTTATGTGGCTGATTCTTTATTAGATTGGCTGAAGAGGCAACAGACCAGGTAATGTTTGGGGAGCTGAAATTTGGGCTTTTTTTGACAGGAGGGGTTTTGTTCAGTTGTGCTATTTTGCCTCATATAAATTCTCTTGATTATGGGAGTATTTGATTATCAATTGGAATTACTGCAGAATCATAAACTTGTACCATGTGCGAGTCAGAAGGGATCTTAAAATTGTCTATTGAAATTTATTATTATTATTATTTATTTTGGATTTTCGAGACAGGGTTTCTCTGTATTGTTTTGGAGGCTGTCCTGGAACTCTCTCTGGAGACCAGGCTGGCCTCGAACTTACAGATCCGCCTGCCTCTGTCTCCCGAGTGCTGGGAATAAAGGCGTGCACCACCAACACCTGGTGTCTCCTTCTCCTTCTCCTTCTTCTTCTTACTACTACTACTACTATTACTATTATTATTATTATTATTATTATCATATAGTAGTCCAGAAGAGGTGCTGGCCTCACACCAGGGACTGACATGACTCCTTTGTTTTGAGTAGAAACAGAAGTCCAGGGATGATATCTGACTTGTGTACAGTTGTACAGTCAGTGGCAAACTGTGGAGACATGTGTCTGTATTCCATACTTTTCTTAGACCTTCTCTGTTACCCTTTTCATTTAGTGAAGGAGAAAGTCTCTGCGTTTTAAAGAGGAACAAAGCTTTTATGGGAGTTCCTTTAATGGCAGAGCTGTAGCAAACAGCTACATCTTCTAGAACTTTGAATGAATGTTCTCCAAACAAATGTGACTTCATTAAAATTGTTTATAAAGAGCAATGGTAGCAGTAGGAAATGGTGGTATATGTTTGTGATCATAGATAGCACTTGAATGTGGAGGCAGGAGGATCAGGAGTTCAAGGCCATCTTTAGCTACATAGTGAGATTCAGGCCAGCCTGGGCTACCTGGAATTCTGTTTCAGAAAACAGCAATAGTGAAGTTAAAACTTGAGGAAAGAATCACTGTCTGGCTGGACGGTGGTGGCACACGTCTTTAATCCCAGCACTGGGGAGGCAGAGACAGGTGGCTCTCTGTCAGTTTGAGGCCAGTCTGGTCTCCTGAGCCAGTTCCAAGACAGCCTTTAAAGCTACAGAGAAACCCTATCTTGAAAAACAAAACAAAACAAAACAAAACAAAAATCACTCTCTGGGACTGCATTTATTTGATGACAGGTAGTGTTATAAAATGCCAAAGTAGATGCAATATTCTCAAGAAATACTGATTTTGATGTTTCATCTTGCCTCTTAAAGAACAGACCAGAATTTTATTCTAGTCATGGCAGCTGATAATATTTAAATACCTTACTTTTATATATCTAAGTATAAAAGGACACCATAATATGCATGTTTTAGAAAATGTTTTTTTGGTCATGTAGTTGTATATTTGTAAGTAACTTCATTCTTTAATTACACGAGTGCCATTCTTTTTTTTTTTTTTTTTTTTTTTTTTTTTTGCTTGTTTTTGTCACAGGGTTTCTCTGTGACTTTGGAGGCTGTCCTAGAACTAGCTCTTGTAGACCAGGCTGGTCTCGAACTCACCGAGATCTGCCTGCCTCTGCCTCCTGAGTGCTGGGATTAAAGGTGTGCGCCACCATTGCCTGGCACAAGTGCCATTCTTGAGTGTAAGTTTTTCCTTTATTTATTTTAAATATTAATTACATGGGTGCCATTCTTGAATATATGTTTTCCTTTATTTTAAATATATAAGCACCATAATAGTTTACTTTCCTGTTGTCTATTTAAGACAAGTCTAGTTACACTTTCCATAAATACTTTCAGGAATGTGCAAGCTTCAAATATTATACTCTCTCCTGGTAATTTTTTCATGTATTAAGATTGGATTTTATAACAATAATATATTCTTTTATGAAGTAGGAAGGAGAAATACAGTCACTGGATTATTTCTCATTCATAAAGAAAACTGGCTTGGTTACATGTTTTTTTTAAATATTTTATTTATTTATTGTATATACAGTCTTCTGCCTGCAGGCTAGCAGAGGGTACCAGATCTCATTCAAGGTGGTTGTGAGTCACCATGTGGTTGTCAGGAATTGAACTCAGGACCTCTGGAAGAATAGTCAGTGCTCTTAACCGCTGAGCCATCTCTCCAGCCCTACATTGTTTTTAAAATGTATATTCTTATTTTGCCACATCTGTGTTAAAAGGAATTTATTGTAGTTATGTTTTAAACTTTAAATACATACTGCTTTTTTCTTTTCCTCTTTTTTTTTTCTTTTTGAGACCATGTCTCTCTATAAAGCTCTGACTGTCCTGTAACTCACCAAGATCAGCCTGCATCTGCCTCCTGAGTGCTGGGATCAAAGGTATGGGCCACCATGCCCAGGCCTAGCCATAGTACCATTGTTCTTGAAGTTAAACAGAAGTAGTTTGTAAGGAACAATTCAATTTTTCTTTTTTTGAGGTGTGTATGTGGGTCTTACTATGTTGCCTAGGCTGGTCTTGAACTCCCAGCCTCAAATGATCTTGAACTCCTGACTTAGCCTGCAGAGTAGTTGGGGCTATAGGCATAGAAACATTAATTTAAAATTTTAGTGATAAAGCCTATTGTGCCATATTAAAATTAACGATCAAGTAAACAAGGCTGTCTTCATAGCCTTGGAGAGAAATTCATCGCTGTCTTCATAGGATAAGGTGCTTCTCATCTGTGAGTGACTAGAAATCACGCTGAATTTTAATTCTTTTATTGATTTTAGTGGCTATTCAATCCCTTTGAACATCTTGTAATCTCTGTGTGTATAGTGCTGGCATTCTAGGCAAGCACTGTATTACTTAACTATACTGCAGCCTTGTGTTTCAGAATATCACTAATGTTGGTAATAAGAGTTTAAAATGATTTGATTTTGTACTATTTCTTGATTTGTTTTAAAGCGTTACCATAGTGTATAACCTAAGATGACTGGAGTATGATTGGTGAAGGTTTACTATTTCATATTGTACTCTTCATTTGTGTTTGAGTCTGTCTAATTTTAAATAAACGCTTTATACATTTGGGTGTGACATCTGGTTATTTCAGTGATCAGTAGCCACAGTTCTGACTCATTGTGCTCACAGTTAATGTGTAGGTAAAGTTCAGAACAGTTTTAGTTCAGAAACTCCAGAGTGTTGATATCGTATGAAGAGAGTATGAGAGTCCTTTCCAAAGCCTTGCTCTTTCTCCACAAGGGAAGCATGGGGATTTTATCCAAGGGACCTATACATATTCATATGAGGGTGAGTCCACTTGGAAGCATCCTCTGTTAAGGAGTACATTCCTAAACATGATCAGTTTAAAGTCATAATTTAAAGAAATGATAGACTGTTACAAGGTCCTATGGGTCTCCCTTGGGGGAGGGGACACGTAGACTAGGAGTTGATGTTGCAGATACCAGAAGCAGGTCAAAGCAACAAACTCAGTTTATTAAGAAAGGGGCAGGTGTAATATACCCCCCACCCTGGGGTGGGGACAGGATCTGTTGTGTTGGCATCTGCTGATGTGACATGGCCACTTTTCTTTGGTCCACATCATCTCTTGCCATGACTTGGCTGTTGTTGTCAAGACCCTCAGGTAGACCCAGATTGGTGTTCAGGAAGTATTTACTACACGTGCTCTTAATATCAGCTTGGACCAATCTAGGTAAGCTGGCTGTTAGGGCTTAGTCATCCAACATATACACCCCTTTTATTATTTTTACAGGACATGCTCAGTGGGAGCTAGGTTGCCTTGCCCCAAACTTGTTGACCCTATCTCAGGAGTGTTCAGCATAATAGACTGTGCCTGTCTTAGATTGGCCTGCAGAACACACTCTTACCCATCCTTGACTACCAGCCCTCAAAGAGCATCAATCCTGGGTGAGCTGCCAGGGTGATGGATCAGTGAGCCATGTGCAGGGTCTTAGCCCAGCCACAGAAGGCTGAGCTGGGTTCCGAGGAAGGGTAAGTGCCCTGCTTGTCTGCTCGCCCATTCCCCATCCTCCCAGGATCCCGGAGATAATCAGATGCAGTGGGGAGTCTAGTCAAGCAGAAA